CTGTACCCCCCTATTGGCGCTGCCAACGAAGGACAGCCACCCGTCCGTGCCACCCCCCGTGCTGTGCCCCCCTGTTCCCACTGTTATCTAAAACCAAAGACTTTCCCTTCATCGCCTCTGGGCCAGGGACCCCTTGTCCCACCCCCGGGCTGGGGTCACTCTTACTGTGCAGGACACCCTGTCTGGGTCACCTCTGTGCCCAGGGGGCAGCAGGATTGAGCCCCAGACCCTCCACAACAGGGTGGGGACATTCACAGGAGACCAACCCCCCTGAAACATCACCCGTAGCCGGCACAGGGACAATAGCAGTGTCCCCACTCGCCCCACGGGGACGGCTGCCAGGGCCCCACCGTGCCGAATCCCGCCGTAAAAGGAGGCTCAGGCTCCCTGCGTGGCCCTGATCCAGGGAAGGGAGCGCATCTCCCCGCATCCCAGAGCCAGGGCCCCCCGCTGCCGGCCCCGCTCCTCGGGAGGCTGCTCCCGACCCAGCGGGGTCACAGGGCAGGGAGGGAGGCAGTGCCAGGGAGCAGCGAGCGCTGCTTCCCCACGAGCCACCCAGGCAGCCGGGACGTGGAGGCACAGCCCCAAACACGGCCATTTGCCGGGTAAATAAACGAGTGGCAGCGCTCGGTGTCACAGCACCCGCCCCACGCACAGCGGCGGGGCTGTGGCAGAGGGCAGAGGAAGGTGATTTCCACCCCCCTTGGGCAGGAGAAAGAGGCCATTAAAAACCAGAGCACTTGTTGGAGTGCTGCTATTTTGGGCCAGCGCAAGAGAGGGAAGGAGCCGCGTGGTCCCCGTGGCGGTGGGGAGCATCCTTGGGTCAGGAACACCGGGACGGGGATCCCGCAAGGAGCTGCCCCAGCAGGGAAGAAGGGAGGTGAGGTTGAAGCTGTGCTGGGAGCTGGGGAGGCCCCTAAGGGAGCCCCCCCCTCCATGCAGAGCAGGGACCAAGGGGGGTTGGGAGCAGGAGCTGGCAGAGCTCCCAGTGCTGGCTGAGCCATGGGATGCTGCGTGCTGCAGCCAGGCTGGGAGGGAGAAACATCCCCATGCAACAGGCGTGTGCCCGCAGCCCTGTGCTGTGGATCCAGCCTCTGAAACCTGTGATAAGGTGAGGGATCCAACCTTTGGAACAATTCCCACGCAACAGGCTCGTGCCTGCAGCCCCAGCACAGGGTGCAGGATGCAGACAAGCCCCTGCAGAGCCAGGCACAGAGGGAATCTAGGGCAGGAGGAGGAGCGGGGAGCAGGGGAGGGAAGCTGGCTCAGCCCGGGCACTTTGGCTGCTGCCGGGGCCGCAGGGTGGGAGCCTGGGGAACGCGGTCCCTTATTGAGAGCAATTGAGAGCAGAGAGGGGGGACGTGTCTCTCGCCAGGAAAGAGGCCCCAGGGTGGCAGCGAGCTGTGCCCACAGCCCCGGAACAGGAGGAACCGGCACAGGCTGGACAAGTTGTCCCACCCACAGCACGAGGAGCTTCCTGAATGCACACAGCAGGCGGGAAAAAAGCCAACACAACTTTATTCAATAAATAATTACAACATTAACAACAGGAAAGGTTTCAGGCTACAGGCTATAGCGGCTCAGCAGCTTCCTTGCTGGCTGGCTTCAGGCCCAGGTAGCACAGCATGCTCTCAAACTCCTGGCAGTCCAGAGCCTCCTCAGGGACAGCCGACAGGACCTGGGGACAGCAGCAGAAATAGTGTTTGGGTTGGTGTTGTTGCAGTCACAGCAAGGGTGAGCAATGAACCATAAATCTCACCTTTTTTATATTCTCCTGTATCTCCTCATGGGTTCTCAGCACTTTCTGGGTATGATGGAGCTGCTTCTCCAGCCCTCGGACCTGTGGTGGTGGAGGTTGCCTGTCAGGACTCTGCTCCAAACCTGAGCAGGCACCAGCTCAGAAGGGAGAGGGGACCCCTGCCCATGTCAGGAGTGCTGGAACCAGGTGACCTTTATGGTCCCTTCCAACCCAAACCACTGATTCCATGACTGGAGCTGGGGCAGGCCATTGAGGCTCCCCATACCTGCTCCAGGTACTTGTCAGTGAGCTGCATGTTCTCATTCTCTTTTTCCACCAGCAGCAGCTGCAGTTTATCCACCTGCAAAAGGAGCAAGCCCTGCTGAGACCCCTCAGATGGGGGAAAGCTCTGGAGTGGGGTGTGGGGAGTAAGGTCTGAAGGGGTGTCCTTGTCCGTGGTGGGGTGACATGAGGAGCCCTCAGTCCTGCAGCTCCCCAGCCTCTCCTCCCTCCACAGCGTGACCTGCTGTGGGATGCAGGCAGTGCCCACCTGCTGCTTCTTGTCCCTCATCTCCTCCCGCAGCATCTTGGCTTCTGTCTCTGCGTGCTGGAGCAAGTGCTTCAGCTCAGAGACTTCTGCCTTCAGCCTCTACAGGGGAAAAAGGGATGCTGAGAGGGGTCTGTGGCCAGCAGCCCCCTGGGGTGCTGCCCACCCATGCCTCCATCACACACCATGACTTCTCCACTCTTGTCAACGAGTTGCAACATCTTCTTTTCCTGCTGTTTCACCAGCTCCTGCAGCTTCTTCTCATTCTGACAGGAAGGAAGAAGCAGGGTCAGGCAGTGCTCAGCCCTGGCCACCTCCAGCCCCCTGGCACAGGTTTTCTCATGTTTGAGGAGGTCAGAGAAGCCAGGAGCACCCATGGGGCATCACCAGATTTCTCCATGTCCTAGATCAGCGCCCGTCCCAGTTCGGTGCTGCCCTGGGGTGAGCGCTGGCCCACTTCTGGTTCACCTCAAGCGTGGTCCTCAGCGCCGTGTTCAGCTTGGCAATGGTGGCAGCCTGGGTATGCACCTTCTCCTGGCTCTCAGCCGTCACTGTCTTCAGGTTGACCTGCAGGTCAGAGCTGCAAGAGGGCAGGGGTGGGGAGTGAGTGGACATCACAGCCAAGCACAGCACCAGGTAGCAAACCCCCTCCTGGGCATGCCCCTGGACCCAGGGTGAGAGAAGATGCCTGGTCCAGCCCAGCCAGCTGGAAAAAGCCCATCTAGCCATGACAGGAGAGGTCTAATCCAGGGCTGAGGCAAGAGGCAGAGGCACCAGGCTGCCTGCACTGTCCATGGCCAGGACAGTGATGCCCCTGCCCAACCCTGGATATGATGCAGCCCTGAACTCACATCTCTGTCTGAAGTGCCCTGAACTCGCTCTGCTCCAGTTCTTGGATGCGGGAGCTCAGCAAGGCAAGGTTGGAGACCACAGATCTCAGCTCCTTCACGCTCTCCAGCAGAGCATCCTCGGGATCTGCAGGCGAGAAAGAGCCTCCTGAGCAGCAGAGGGAACATCAGCCCCAGGGCACACAAAGGAAGGCGTGTGCCTGCTCATCCCTCTGCACAGCAGCCCTGCAGCTTCAGAGCAGGGTCTCACACAGGGTGACACAGCCCCAGTACCTATTGGCTTTGGCACGGATGCAAGTTTGTCCTTGGCAACTGTACTGCTACTTCTGGTGGCCTCATTGGCATCTGCGAGAGGAGAGGACAGTGGCTGTGCCCAGCCCTACACATGGCCCAGCATGGGAGGGAGCAGTCCCCATCCTGGCACTCCCCAGAGCCCAAAGAGGGAGTGCCACCTCACCTTTCCCTGCCACAGCTTTCAGGACACTGCCCACAAAGGAGCTGCCGGCGTGGCTCGGGGTGCGGCACGCCGGGGTGCGGAAAGCCGGGGTGCGGAAAGCCGGGGTGCGGGCACGGCGTGGGGTCTGCCAGCCTGGGGTCCGGGGCCCTGGGGTCCAGGCTTTGCTTCTTGATGGAGCATCAACATCATCCTTCAGAGGGGAAGGAGAGTACAGCACCAGAGTGCAGCTTGTGACTGCCCCAGCAAGCACAGGGTCTCAAAGCCATGCCACAAGAGAGCCACAGGTGTGTGACCCCCCTGGGCCATCCTGTCATCCTTGTCCCCAGCACAGGTCCCCTACCTGCTCTTCCAGAGCAGCCTTGAGGCAGTCAGCCAGCTCCTGCAACCAAATCTTGCTCTCCATAATGTCCATGGAGCACCAAGAAACTTTGCTCCTCTGTGTCTGCAAGCTGAGGAGCTCAGCCTTGGTGCTGTCCAGCTCCTTGCTGAGGGCAGCCTGCTCTTCCCTGTGGGATGGCATCAGCCTCAGCAGGAGCAGTATTTCCCTTCCTTGATGTGGGATGGGGACATGCCTGCCTCTCACCATGAACCAGCAACGGTGCAAATCCACAGATTTAGGCAGCTTCCCTCAAGATGGGGAAACATCCCCACCACACACAGCCACTCCCACCCACCTGGACCACCACATTTGGCTGGAGCAGCAGTGACCATGATCACAATGTCCCCTCTGACACCCCAGGAAGGGCCTGATTTCACAAAAATGGAGGGGTTTGGGTGGAGCTGGTGAGAGGGGCAGTACCGCAGGTGTTGGTGGGACTCCATCAGCTCCTCGTGCTGCAGGACACGCTCCTGCAGCGTGGCCAGTGTGGAGTTCAGTCTGGCCTCCACCTCCAGCAGCTGCGTGCGGCACATTTGGTTCTCCTGATCCAGGAACTGTAAGAGGGTGGGGGGACACAGCTGTGGCCAGCCAAGCAGAGACCCGAGGGGGCTCATTGGGACCCCCAGCACAGACACTCCCATGCCTCAGGGTGCTGTTTCTAACCAGGGGCAGCTTTATCCCAGCAGCCCAAACCCTACAAACCAGTTTACTGGGGACATAGGACAGGCTGGGAGACAGCTCCATGCCTTCAGGGAAAAATTTATCTCCAAGAAAATTATCTCCAAGAGCTGCCCAGCCCCCAGCCTGGGAATCCCTGCCGGGCAGGATGAAAAGCTGCGCTACGTGCGGGATGTCAACCGCCCTCGCAAGCTCATCCCCGCTCTGTAGGGGGACTAATCTTGCTCCTGGCCATCTGCCAGCCTTCCCAGAGAGGCCGTGACCGGCAGCGCGTGATAGCGCAGGCAAGGTCAGGCAGCTCCTACCTCCCGGAACTCCATGGCCTCCCGCAGCTCCTGGCACAGCTCCTTGCACTCCTGCTGCAGGGAGTTCCTCTCCTCTGCCAGCCTGAGGGGATGGGATGGAATCAGGGGGTGCTGTGTTTTGGGGGGCAGAGGTGGGATGAGGCTCAGGACATCAGGGCTCAAACCCACTGGGCCATCTCCTCCCACTGCTTCTCGTTCTCCTGCTGCAGCGCATCCCGCTCCTGCTCCATGCTGGCCAGATTTATCATCACGGAGCTCAGGTCTGCAAGGGACAGAGCTGTCAGACAGGAGGGACAGGGGCACTGGGGATGGGGCAGCTCCCATCCACGTTGACCACCCCACCTTTGCCCAGGTGCGAGTTGGCCACTGTCAGCTGCTGCAGCTGAGCCTCTGTGTCCTGCAGGGTCACCAAGGTCTTCTCCAGCTGGCAGGATGCCTGCAGAGACACGGTGCTTGCTCAGGGGTTCTCTTCCCCATGGGGATATTCTCTCACCAAGGGGTGCCCCAAACCACCCCATGCCTCAGACACCTCCTAGCACTGAGAGGAGGCACCCCTGTACCTCCTCCTTGGCTTGAAGAGCTTCCTCTGCTCGTTTCCGTGTGGCAGCCAGCTCCTCCAGGCAGCTCTGCAGCTTGCTGGGCACATGCTCCAACAGGACATGGGACTGGGACACCAGGGCCCTTATCTGCTCCCGCTGGGAAGGGACACAGCAGCAGGCAGAGCTCAGTGTGGCACTGGTGGCACTGTCCTGCTGTGTGACCGGTGACAGGTCATGGCAGGGCAATGAGGGGCTGAGCCCCCACGGGACACCCCTCACCTCCTCATCCAGGGCTCTCCTTTCCTTCTCCAGATTTTCAAAGGTGACATCTAAGAATTCCCGGAAAGACTGCGCTTGGGCAGACAGGGATGCCTGTAGGGTAGGAGGGATGAGTCAGCACTGTGGTGGAAAAGCCACATGCAGTGGCCATGAAGGGAGGCAAGTACCAGCCCTGAGGCCAAATTTGCAATAGATTCCCAACAGCAGCACCAAGAAACCTCTAGTGTACCCAAGACCATTGCAGAGCATCACCCAAGCTCAGGGCATGGCACTGCCCCTTCCAGCCCCTGATCCAGTGTGGGGTACTACTCAGTACCTGCAGGTTGATGGCATGGGCCAGCAGCATGCTCAGCTCTTGCTGGGAGGCCAGGCTCTGGTCACGGGCACTGATCTGGGCACTGGCATGGGCACAGAAAGCCTCCAGGAAGAGATATGCCTGCAGAGGAGAGGATGCTGCTCCAGCCATGCTGTCGCACAAGGGGAACCTCCCAGGAGCCATCCCTGCATCAGGACTCCTGCTCAAAGGGGGGGACACAGCCCACACCAAAAAAACATCCAGGGAGCTCCATCACACAGCACTTCTTACATTCCACACTGGGATTTTCTTCCCCTGGGATGCCAGGGAGAGCCTCATCCCCAGAGATGGGTAGAGATGCAGGATGCCCCACCAAAGGCATGAGGACAGCTGAGACTGCCTCGATCCCACAACAGCTGCCTCCTTACCTGATCCTTGGCTTGTAGGGCTTCATCTACTCGCTGCCTGATGGCATCCTGCTCTTCCAGGCAGCTCTGCACCCTGCAGTGCTCGAGCACAGCCTGGCACTGGGACACCAGGGTCCTCTCCTGTTCCTGCTGCAGGAGGCAACAGCACCATGAGGAGCCAGGTACAGCTGCTGTGTGTCCAACAGGTCTCCCAAAACCAAGGGAAAGGGGAAGCAGAGGGATATGCAGGAGCTCACCTCCTGCATGAGGGCTCCCTGCTCATCCTGCAAGCTCCGAAAAGCAGCATCCGCAAGGCCCCGGAACAGAAGGCTCTGGCTGCTCCAGGTGTTCTGGGGAAGGGACAAGGACACTGGTGTTATGGCAGCTGGCACAGGCAGCACCAGGCACATGCATGTGCCCTGTGGGGCTGAGATCTGGCACACTCATCGCCAGTGACAGCCACCAGGCACCCAGCTCCAGCTGCAGATCCCGCTCCACTCCCCGCTGCCACTGCACAGCCTCTGTTTCCCTCCACAGCTCAAGGTAGATCTCTTCCTCCAAGTGCATCCACCAGAGTTTCACACCAGCCCTGCTCCACCCTGGGGCCAGCGAGATCTCGTCAGCCACGACACCTCCCCTTCTCCCACCATGTGCACCAGGGATGTTTCCCCCCACAAGGGTTCAAATCCAGCAGACTCAGCGGGTTGATCCGGGCGTGACAATGCAGCAGCGGGCGCGTGATGCCGTGATGCAGCGGCCGCGTTTTACTTCCACTCCACCAACCCAGACGGGGTCACCGTCTTGCCAGTGGCACAAGGACACCGTCACAGCACCGAGGCTGCAGGGGACAGGGTGGCATCGCCTTGGAGAGGACTCTTACCCCTTCGGGGTGGGTGGCGTCTGTCTGTGTGAGCGCGTCCCTCTGCTTGGCTGGCCCCACGCCAGGCCGCGGCCGCCGGCTCTCCTGCCAGTCACGCAGCTGCAGCGAGAGGGCTTCGATGATGATGAGGGTGCTCTCCAGCCTCCCCTCCAGTTCTGCCCGTGGCAGGGTCTTCAGCTGCTCCCGGGGACAGCTGGGGACAAAGAGGGGCTTTGGGCAAGGACAGCCCCCAGGTACCACAGCCTCATGCAGGGGGGCATGTCCTCATACTCACTGCCAGAGCAGGGAGTCTGTTTCCACAGCGCTGTCCTTGGCACAGGGGACGATTCCCCTGGATGTGTTCATGCTCTTCTCCCACATGTCCCGAGGTGTCATGAAGGTGCCAGTGGCCACGGAGAGCACTGGGGTCATGCTGGTGCCAGTGGCCATGGTGGGCACAGGGGTTGTGCTCGTGCCTGTGGCCATGGTGGGCACAGGGGTTGTGCTCGTGCCTGTGGCCATGGTGGGCACAGGGGTCGTGCTGGTGCCAGTGGCCACAGTGGGCACAGGGGTTGTGCTGGTGCCAGTGGCCACAGTGGGCACAGGGGTTGTGCTGGTGCCAGTGGCCATGGTGGGCACAGGGGTCGTGCTGGTGCCTGTGGCCATGGTGGGCACAGGGGTCGTGCTGGTGCCAGTGGCCACAGTGGGCACAGAGGTGTCACTGCTGCTGGCATCCTGCTGTGGCTTTTGGAGGGGCAGGCTGTTCCACACGGATTCCATCAGGAAGGAGTTGTTGAGGGTCTTCTCCAGCCACATGAGTGGCAACACCCAGGACACAGCACCCAGGGTTGTTTCAGGCAAGCTGACAGGGGTGACAGTGGCTTCTGACCCAACAGGCTCCAACCCACTTGCATTGATGGGAGGGAGGCTGGGTGTGCTCTGTTCTGGGGGGACGGGGGCAGGGAACTCGGCTCCCTCAGGAGCACCTTGGCAATGCAGAGAATCAGCACTTCCATCTGCAGATGGGGGCTCGGAGGCCACAAGGCTGCAGGAAAACTCTGGAGGTGCTGCTCGCCACCATTGGAAAGGAGCTTTCTGTGGAGTGGAGCTGGTGCCAGGAGGCCCAGGGGTACAGGAGGCTGTGCTGGCATTGCCAGGGGATCCAGAGCTGCAGGGAGCTAAAGCAGAGCTGCCTGGAGAGTTTGGGTTGCAACACCCTGAGCTAATAATGTTGGGGGGGCCTGGGGTGGTGCTGCCAGGGGATTCCAGCATGCATGGCTCCAGGACAAGGCTGCACATGGTGCTGCCAGGGGACTCCAAGGTGCTGGGCACCCGGATGGAGCTGCACAGTGCGACTGGCACAGCATTGCCAGGGCACTCTGAGGTGCTGGAGTCTAGGATGGAGCTGCACAAGGGGACTGGCACGGTGCTGCTGGAGGGCTCTGGGGTGGTGGGCAGCAGGATGGAGCTGTGCAGGGGGGCTGGCACAGTGTTGCCAGGGCACTCTGGAGTGCTGGGCACTGGGATGGAGCTGCACACAGAGACTGGATCAGTACTGCTGGGGGGCTCTGAGGTGCTGGGCACTGGGATGGAGCTGCCCTCAGAGGCTGGGGCCATGCTGCTGGAGGGCTCTTGAGTGCCGGGCCCCAGAACTGGACTGCACAGAGGGGCTGGCACAGTGCTGTCAGGGACCTCTGGTGTGCTGGACACTGGGAAAGGACTACCAGGGGCCTCTGAGCTGGTGCTGGTGGAGGTCTCCAAGGCACCAGGAATAAGAGTGGCATTGCTGGGGGCCTCAGAGACACCAGGCTTAAGACTGGGAGTCCTGAGGTCCCGGGTAGAGGTCCTGGGGAACTCCAAAGCAGTGCTGCTGGGGGGCTCCAGCATGCAAGGCTTTGGGATGGTGCTGCTGGGGGGGCCCAGGGTAGCACTCCGCGGGGGTCCTGGGCTGCAGGGCACCGCGGTGACGCTGCTGGACACCGGGGTGGCGCAGTCATGGTCCTATAGGGCGTTTTAGGGGGAAAAGGTCAGGCCAGCCCTGCCCTTTCTCCCTGCACCCCGCAGCCGTTTGCCCCAGCCTACTCATTTTCCCAGCGCATTAAATACGCCCGTCCTCCCATAGCGCCAGCACCATCCACCCCCCCCAACATCCCCGGTCCCGGTACACCGCAGCTCCCCCGCCCTGCCCGTTATTGCCGCCCGCTGACCTTGAGCCGCAGCCGGCGGAGCAGCGGGGTCAGGCTGGTCCGGACGGCGTCCGACTGCAGCTGCAGCTCCTGCAGCGGGG